AATTTATCTGCAATTCAAAATATCCATCTTTCCATTCAAATGCATCTATACTCGACATCTTCGATTAACTTAGTATACTTAATTTCCAATTTTCATACTTAATATAAATATACTTTCCACGTTTCATTTATAGAGAAAATGATTTAACAAAATTTTCCGAAAGAAATTTCTAAATTTCTAAAATAACTAAATAAATATTCTACACTTTATTCGGAATAGAAGTTTCGGAATCGTGATACTGTGCAGTGAGTAAAATGAGCAGAAGACCGGTGATCGATGGTCGATCGCTAATATCGCGATCGAAGCGTTCCCGCGAGGGATAAGATGGGAAAAATAAGCGGAAGAGACGACATGTTTACGATATTCGTTGCTTCTGGCCAACGTGCCAAGGCGGCTAGGGCGTGGTGTGTGTTTAAAGGATAATTGTGCGCCCTACCGGAAGCAGGAAGCTCGTAAAAGAAGCGTGTAAACCGAGCTGCAGTACGGAACTTCCTCCGTGTGACGTTGATGACTTACCCTCCCGCGGTCAGCTCGTTAATCAAGCAGCTGAGTACGAGTTCAGGGGTGAAAAGGCGAACGAGAGAGAGAAGAGAGAGACACACAGAGAAACACATTACGCATAAGTTTTAACGAAGGGCTTATCAAATTATGCAGTGATACAAAACTGTGTTACTATGAAGTAGGCGAACTCTTCGTCTGGATAAAAATCGAAATTTTTCTAAGCATACTCTTTCTCAATTTTTTATTTTTTTTTTTTTTAGTCAGAAACTCATTTAGGTACGTAAACAATTATTTTCGATACGTATATTTTTGATTTGCATTTTTTTTTAAATACCATTTTCAATTTTTTAGATTTTAGATTATAGATAATATTTATGATTAGTAAGTTCCTTTTCTCAAATTTTTATTTTTTATTTTTGAATTAGGAATTCGTTTTGGTAGATAAACAATTATTTTCGATATTTATATTTGTAAAGTACATCTTTTTTTAATACCACTTTTAATTTTTTAGATTCTATATTCTAGATAATATTTATGGTTAGTAAGTTCTCTTTTTCAATTCTTTATTTTTTCGTTTTTGAATTGAGAACTCGTTTTGGTACGTAAATAATTATTTTGATATTATGGACAATATTCAAATTTATTTTTTGAAGTTACTGCAAAATTTATCACTTAGTATTTGTATACTGTAATTATATCGTTCAAAATGTATTATAAATTTACAAATTGAGGTTTCTCAAATTTTTACAAAAATTGAATGCAGGAAACATGGATTTTTTACCTTCGATGTAAACCATGACGAAGAGTCTGCATACTCATTAAGATAACATAGTTTTGGGATAATCTATAAAAATTCAGATATAGTCGGAAAACAACTGTCAGTGTTGGGTAAAAAGGCAAATTCTTTCGTTAAATATATAAGCCTTGAAATAGTGTAATACAAGCTGAGAAACGATGCACGTTAAATTTTCTAAGGAAATGATTTAGTTGAAAATCTGATTAGAAATTAGCAGAAGAAGATGATTAAATATTTAATTCGAAAATATGCTTGTAAGATGAAATATCGTAACAATATATCGATAATAACGATAAATTTAATAGAATGCTAATTTATTCTAATTCTATCATGACTTATGATCGTGCTGATAATAATTGCCATAAATAATTCAAATAAGCATAATACATTACTTTACCTACGAATATTGTAATAGATAAAAACTATTAGAGAAATAAAACTGGCATCTATCTTAAATATCAATATTCTCTAAATACTATTTCTTATATTTTAAATATACTAAATATATAATACATTTGATACACATAATAATAGTAATAATAATATTTAATAATTAATTTAATATTCAACATTAAATGTATTAAATGAATGAATTTCCTATGTTAGATATATACTCGTATAATTTTTAATTATTCGTAAAATATTTATATATTATATATTAAAATATTCACACCAAAATTACTGTTTATTTAAAAAATTATGCACTCTCGTTCCACTATATACGGTTTCCCGGCAAGGGGATGTTTCTACATAAAAAAAACAAATCGAAAATGAAAAATAAAATTTTTTCATTCGAAGCTTCATTACCGAGAAAATCGACTTTGAATATTCAGAGAGTGCGCTGGTACACTGATGGTCCATGCGCCATAGTTAAAGTTAAGTGCACGCGTACCCAGTGAATATTCAAAGTCGATTTCCTCGACAACGAAGCTTCGAATGAAAAAATTTTATTCTTCATTTTCGATTTGCTTTTTTACGTAGAATAGAACCAAACCATTTTTGATTTTACTATCGTATATATCCACCCTATATATCCATATAACTTCATATTAATCTCTGTGCAAGTACAACAAGTAGAATATACACAAATAAAATATCTCATATGTAGACAGTGATCTAATTTTCAAAAACATCGAACGATAGATGCCATTTTTTGATAAAATTAGTATTATAAACCAATGTGTACACGATATGCTACCCAACACTGATTATAATCTACGTCCAAAGAGAAAAATCATTTAACTAAACAAATGCTTGTTCCTTATTAGCATACAGTTTAAGCTTGAAACTTTTTTCGATTTGATTTCTTAAATCATCGATCAATTTAACGGAAGATCCATACGCACGCACATACACACAAAATTGTCAAGAGATTGAAATTAACGATGAAAACATATAAGGGTGAAGATTCGAGAGAAATTTGAGATAATTAAGTATAAAGTGAGAGATCGTAGTACAAAGTAAAGCAAAGTACAAGGTCACGCGTGTATGTGAGTACGGATAGACGAGAAGAAGAAACTCGTAGCCGAAGAGAAGAAATTTTTCGTGAAAAAGAATATTTAGGGATACGTTCGTTTTTGGTTCGTGACATGCATTTGCGTACCTTAAACTTGGCATGCTTTTTCCTTTTATCAAGTTCGTTGGGTGCTTCATATGGTCGACGTCCTTCGCCTCGAAGATCTTCGAGGCTGTAGAAGTGGGTCTTGTCAAGTTATCATCTCCTGTGTCGAGGCTCCTGTGGCTATCCTGAAAACAAAATTTGCGTTAAAATAATATTTTAGGAAATTAACAAGTCGACTGCCATGATGGTCACCAGTGACTGGTGCTTGTTCTCCTCAGTGAAGCTATGGTGGTCACCAGTGTCTGGCGATTAACTAAAAATAAAGAGGAAATAAAAATATTTTGATATATATACACATATATATACGTATCGTACAGATTTATCCTACGAAAGTGCGAACACAGTTTTATTTTATAAAATAAATATAAATAACCAAATTTATCGTTAATAATAGATTATTCACGGCGTAAATTTGTAATAAAAGTGAAAAAATTAACAAATTACTGGTTATTACTTGATCTTATAATGTACTTATGTCAAAAAATACCTGTAATTTGCAAAAAAATGTATAAATTTTGACATTGATTGTTAATGACAAATTAATATTGTTAATGATAAATTATTCACGGCGTAAATTTAAAATAAAAATTTAAAAAATCTTGAACTTACAATAAAATTGTGTTAAAATGTACCTATAATTCGCAAAAAATTTATAAATTTTTGCACTGATTGTTGATAATAAATTAATATTGTTAATAACAAATTGTTTGCAACGTAAATTGTTCATAACAGTAAAATAATTATTAAATTATTAGCCATTAGAGCGGGAAAATAATAACAAATGGAATTGGTAAAATTCGGAAATTTTCGATCGTAGTGGGGGGCTCAGCCGATCGGCGGCTATATAAGGGGCGACGCGACGGAGCATAAGTCATTTGTTAGTTCGACTTCGGAAGAGTAACATCTAAATTTTCATAGTGCGCGGGGGGTGGGATTCGAAGTGAGGTTGGGGCTGGCTCCCCCACCCTCACCCCACCCCATTAAACAATTTACTAATAATTTTTCTTTTCTTTTCAGATATTAATTATTTTTTTTATTTCAGCATTTAATTATTTTTTCTTTTTTCAGGTTTTAATTATTTTTTCACTTTCAAGCTTTTATTTCTTGTTTCTATTTATTTTCATTCGAATATTTCGTATAATATTCGAATGTCTCATCGTTGGGTTGTTCTTTCCACTTGGTAGATCCTTCTGGTTTATATTCCTCCCTCTTTTATTTTGTTTCCTCTTACTAATTCCTTTCATTTCAGGTGTTAATTATTTTTTACTTTTCAGATTTTATTTTTATTTGAAAATTTGAATATTTCGTATAATATTCGAATGTTTCGTCGCTGGGTTCTTATGTCTTATCGTTGGGTTGTTCATGTCTCATGGTTAGGTTCTTAATGTCTCATCGTTGGGTTGTTCGCTCCATTTAGTTGATATTTATGGTTTATATTTATTTTATTTGTTTATATTTGTTTTATTGTGTTGTACTAATCATTTACTAATCTGTTTCTTTTCAGCTTTTCAGGTTTTTCAACACATCGTTGGATGACGCAGGATGTGTGAGTTTAGACTTAAGTATTTGTAAGTAGTTATAAAATAGATTTCTAAACTAAGTCTCATGTGCGCGTTATCTGTTCACAGGTAAGCTACCTAACTTGGAGCGAAATATATAAACTCTCTATCCCCTTCGTTTACCAAATAGAACATAATTGTTCTCGCGATAATCGCGATCGTTCGTAAGTACCGACTAGCCTACGCGACGTGCTCTCGTGTACTGGATAAGTACATGCTTCGTAAGTCATCCTCGCGACTCGTCTCCGACACTCATTTCCAGTCACTGTCAATCTCGTCATGCATCGGGTTCCAGGGTGACCCCCTCGAATCAGTGCGTCTTCTGACCTCGACCGGGCGGTCCGCTGCCTAAGTCGTACGCGACTTAGGCTCGGGCACATGCTGGCTGACGGACTAGTACCATCTACGGTTAGACCACAGGGATGATTAAGTTCTACCCCGTGTGGCTGGGATGGGAAGTGTCTGTCTTGGCCGGCAACCGCCCAGCTGGGCCCTCCTGTTGACACTAGAAGTTTCATTGGTTCAGGGACTAACCTTGGTCCACGTGTAAGTCTTGGCGAGTGCGACAGTGACTGGAATTGAGCTAGGCCCGATCGGGAGGGTGCCGAGGTATGAAGTTATCTCTGTACACGGGAGTACATCGCCTAGGCTAGTCGGTCTTTCGAATAATCGCGATCTCGTTCGGGCGCGTCGCGATTTTCTATTTGCTCGCGTGTTTGATATTTCATTCCCTATTTTTATGGGAACTTGAAAATATCTTAGCGTTGCGACAGTAGAGTTTCAGTATACCGAATCGAAGTTCCCTTTGTAAGACACGAAATAAAATAAAGTGTCAGTAGAGTCACTTTAACTTAATTCGCTCCAAGTTAGATTAGGGTACCTTTGATACAGGTAGCACCAGCAGGCTGCGCCACTAGGGCGCATGTCGGGTCTCGATGCGTAGCCACCTCCACGTGGTGAGACCTGGTAATTGGTATCGTTTTCCTTTGGGAAACGATATCAAGCTAAGAGCTACGCACAAAGTATAACATATGTCCTATCTCTTGTGAATTTTCACTCTTTTCTTTGGAATTTGAAAATAGAGAGTGGGCATATCTGTTCAAAAGATACTTAAATGAAGAGGAATTAAGCTAGCAAGGAGAGTGCAAGTGTTTCGGGTCACCGATTTAGTTGATATTCTGCAGGTTTGTAGATATCGTCATGCAGTTTAAGAAAATATATCATTATAGCGGCAACTACTCAAAAGTTTTTGAGATATTTACGATTAAAGTTTCATTACTTTCGTAATTACTGATTTATTTACATCATTTTACAAGTGCAGTCGTGGCATAAAAGCGATAGATGAATATTCCTGTGGTAATAGACCGTGGTTCGATTCTCGTCCCATAGTTGGTAGCTTTTTAATCTATTTTTAATTTTGTGTTCATTTTTCGTCTATGAAAATATTGTAAATAAAATTTCTTAACAAAATAATTTATTTTTTACGCTTTCTTATGCTAGTGTATATTTATTACAAAATAATAAGAATATTATGCAAGAAAAATACTTTTCTATAGCAATCTTATTTACTACAGGAAATACAAAACCTATCGCTCATGTAAGTATTAATTATTAAATTAAACATCCTATAAGAATGTTGCCTATAATTCCAACTTTGCTGTGCAGCTATAAATTTTCATTAATTAATTACAAAAACTTGGCAATTTATTAATTTTCTACTGTCGAATTGATTTCTAGTATCCAGTTCGAATAAAAATTTTACCGCCTGCGATCAGCAAGCGATCAGCGCCATCTATGACTTTGGAATAGTTTCTCAAATAGTTTACTAACTCTGGTTACGTGCAC